GACTCAGTCAACACATTCTCCAGGAACGGTCTTACCAGGAATATACAAAAGACTATATGTAAATATTGTGTACACTTTCTTGTTTCAATACATTTTGTTCTAAGTACCGTTTGTGTTGCATTATTATTCCATGCATTAGTCAAGTTTCAACAATGTCGAAGAGGATGAGATTCGAACTCACGCGGGGAGACCCCATTGATATAATATATGATATGTTTCAGGTAGAACCTCCACAGAATACTCCTGAACCAAGAAGATCCGGTAGGAAACGGAAGTTCACGGACCCATTGGACGTGAATCCAAAACGGAAAAAATATTAAAATTAAGCGGATGGACATATGCATATGAAGTATGCAAATGGATCTACAAAGAAATAGCCATAATCATCAACCCAGATAGGAAGCCAATTTGAAATTTAAAAGGGATTCCAAGTCTTGGGAGTGGGGTGTTCTGGTAGGATCCACCTAATTTGCATAGTGGAGTACCGACCATATAAATATGGTTGGTACCGGGAAAAGAGGGAGGAAACAAGAGATTCACTCTCAGTCGAACTCTCTGCATTTTGCAGTGAGGGACCCGGACGAGGCTTTGCCGAGAGACAGGGTTTCGTCCGGGGTGGTAGACAGGCATTGAACCCGTCTAGGCGGGTTCAGAAAAGCCATATTTTTGGCCGAGCCTACGGGCTCGGAGATACCCACTTTAAACCGGCCTTGTGCCACATTTTATCCTCGTGGGTGGATAGATAAATACAGCAATCAAGAGATTCAACCAGAGACTCTGCCTGACTGCGACTCAGTCAACACATTCTCCAGGAACGGTCTTACCAGGAATATACAAAAGACTATATGTAAATATTGTATACACTTTCTTGTTTCAATACATTTTGTTCTAAGTACCTTTTGTGTTGCATTATTATTCCATGCATTAGTCAAGTTTCAACACTAACTGAATAGTTTGTTTTCGTATTCTCATTTGTCTTGTTTCGATGCAATCTCCGACCATTATCCGGTTTATATTATATTCACGATTCGTTAGTGGGCATAAGAAATCAAATTACCGCCAAAAAAAGCTGAAGGCTTTCACCTGCCAATGCTAGTGGCTCCATTGTTCAAAGAAATACAGTGGCATATTCTTTTCGTCATTCATAAGAGAAAACTGTTATTGGAATAATCTGGATGTGCCGCCTACAAACGCATATACATCAGTGGCAGTGAAAAAAATATGCGTGGTGTACAGGGAATTTTTGCCCGAGCGTATGTGCTCGGAAAGGCTCACATTAAAAATCGGCTTTGTCCTACATACTGCTCTATGGACAGCTCAGGTAAATAGCCAGTAAGAAGCGAGAGTGGATGTGCGACAATTATAGCTCGACAAATATGTCACAGTTGCTTTATTTTTTATTAACAGTCGTTCTTTGAAGAAATCTCTTACCAATAGTTTCGCATTATTATTATTATTATTATTATTATTATTATTAATATTATTATTATTATTATTATTCAATTAGAATTGATTTGTGATGTCAACGAATCCTCGTTGTCATTTTGTGATATCAACGAACACTGGCTGTCACTTTTAGAAACGCCGTTGAACAATACTGGTGCCACACGCCTTCGAATAACACTCACACTTATAGTAATAGCTCGATAATCCTCGTTCGAATAGTAATCCGTATAGTGATCCGAATAGAGAAATAGCATAGTGGATAGAGTATAGAATAACGGTCCGTATAGTAATAGCGGGTAGACTAGAAATACAGATCCGAATAGTAAAGAGGATAGATTAGAAATGCGATCGTTAGTCGTCACGATACCTCCCATATACGCATTTCATTTATGGTCACCTAATCCACTTAATAAAATAATGGGGCCGCCTGTGATTGCTCACTAGCGATCTATGTTCAAACTCTAGTGTCGGCAGTGACGTTTATTCCGATATAACAAATTGTTTAAAATGTAAAGATACATTATTCCTCAGCATTCTGTTTATTTTTAACAAAATAATTGCCTTTATTTTATTTTTTTAATGCACAAACAATATCGAACATTAAATAATTAGTTTAATGGATTTGCTTTGAAATTTTCTCACACAAAATGTATAAAGCTAATGATCTGAGTTAGCACAACAGAACTACTGAAATTGTTCTACGATTGCTCTTCAATCAACAGGAAAAATTTAGGTTACGTCCACCGATACGAATCTTCAAGACATTATTCGCAATAGCTTTTCATATTGGAAGTGCTTAAAGATGAGAAAGATGACATTGTCGGGAAGCAGAGATCGATTATATCCCTTTTGTTAGAATGAGAGGGTCGTGACATATACTAAGTTAGATCAGTTCATGGGGGTAACGCACTCCAGTTTCTGAGCAGACCACAACATTGCAAGATGACATTTAGAAGACAGAAGAAACAACAGAAAACAAAGAACATCAGTGCCAACACCGACTTGGACGTTTTCTCTTCGGGAAATAATACAAGTAAGGCTTTCTCGATTTTCATCCATTCACTCGGCTTGTTTGTTTTCCTTATTCGCTATATACGGGACAAATAGGAATATATGCATATGTATATATAATTTCTAATAAGGCATAGCAGCCAGTATAAAAATACCTGTTCGAATTTCACGGATGTACAAATACCGACAATATGAGAACTAGAAGTATTCTTTGTTTGGGGAAGCATTGGTCATTAACCAGAGAATGGCTTCATTTTACAGCGGTGGGTTTAAACAACTATTTCTTCCCTTAGCTAAGACTAGCAGTAGAGCCCAGCGTTGCCCAGGGATGTAACAGTAAGAGATAGATCAAGTATCGACCATCATAAAGACTGAAAAATAAAATTGACAAAGATTATTATTTAAGGTTGACGGACACGCATGTCTTAATTAGTTTATTTTATTTTATTTTTTTTACGAATTGGTCAAACCCAAACTCAAACAAAAACGTTGTTTTCAATCGTTATGAGTCTACCGATTGAATAGAATTTTATTATAAACAATTGTCTTGTAAATGGAATTTTTAAAGCATTCTGAATGTAAAAATAAAGAAAAAAAGTGTGCAAGACAATACGAAACACTACCTGCCAAAAAAAAAGTGAAGTTTTGTTGAAATCGGTTGATAATGTAGGAAATCCGTTCCCATATATAAACGAACACACACACACACACACACACACACACACACACACACACACACACACACACACACACAAACAACCTGGGTTTTATAATAAGTATAACTCGATATGAGTTGTCCCCCTTTCATTCTCGTGATGCCTCTTAATCGTGTTTTCAAACTGATTTCGTGCAAAAACAATTGGGTTTTTCCAATTTTTGGCGCTGTTAGAATCACCGCAAGGTAATTTTACGTAGTCCTGTGAAGTTTTGTTGAAATCGGTTGAAAAATGTAGGAAATCCGATCCAATATATAAACGTACAGACACACGCACACACACACACACACACACACACACACAATCTGCGTTTTATAATAAGTAAGATTCGAATGTCGTTGGATGTGTGTACAAACGCATATGTATTCTTCCCCATAGAATTATACGTAGCCTCCGTTATTCTTTGATAACACAACTCTCCAGATTAGTACGTCTTTATTTTCTTCTTATGTGACATGTCCTTTCAGGACGTAGGCGATCGTGGCTCTCCCTCTATTCCTTGCAGCTCTCAAAAAGTCCCTTCCCTTTGCTTCCTACCCCAGACCACGTTCTGGCATCCACTTGCTTAAGGCCGCTAGGTATATTACGCATTGTTTTCCCTTGTCTCTCTTTCTCTCTATTCGACCCGTGAGTATCAGATTCTCCAGGCCCTCCTTCCTCATTATGTGTCCCAGAAACTTGAGCTGCCTCTTCCTTATGTTAAGTATAAGCCTCCTACTTGTTTGCATCCTCTCTAAGACCTCATCGTTGCTCACACGCTCGGTCGATGATATCGCTAGCATCCTCCTGTAGATCCACATCTCTGTCGCCTCGAGTCACTTCTTCATCTTTGAGGAAATCGTCCAATATTCGCTGCCGTAAAGAAGGATAGATATTAACGTTTCAAATATTGTAGCCTCTCTCCTCTTTCTCTCTCTTTCACAGACACGTGCGCGCGCACACACACAAACACACGCACACATATATACTTAAGTTCTACACTTTCTACATCTAACTAAACACAATATAGCATTCGTTGTAGTAAATTAGATGACTTGATAAAAAAAAAAACAATGTTCCCTATAAAACATTGAATATTACCCGTAAAAATTCAGAGAGGCGATGAGTTCCCACGAAGAACGACGTGAAAGGAAAAGACGCACGGTACACTGTACAGGCACCCCTCACCTTAGCTTCGCTCGTCTATAACCGTAGGTTACAGCGCCAAAATAAAATATGTTTACTGCTACACATCCTTATGGTTTTAATTCATGGGTAACGATCTAAACGAAGGATTATTTTTTGAGCCACTAGCGTGTGACTGGAAGAAGCTGCACCCTGAGAACGAACCTCGTGCCTGGTCTAAGCTGCAACACTGCAATGCTGCAAATCTCTATCTGCAAACTGCATTTTCGTACTCGAAACGTACATCACAACCTGGCTGCCGGATGTAGTTTATTGTCATACACAGGACTCCTTCAATTTGTACCTAAGTACTGAGACCTTGAGCCAGACTAAGCTAACTCAATCTTATTCTCCTCCATATTATCATTACAGAGAGAGAGAGAGAGAGAGAGAGAGAGAGAGATGAGCCAAAGTCTTAACAGTTTATCAATATAATGGCGCGAAAATCAGTAGCTGCATATTGGCAGCAAACAATGGCTCAAAATTCCCGTAAACTCACTCTACTAAAGCCGAACAATACTGCAGACAGAGGAACCACCCGTCACTCCACAAAGCATCGGACCAAGTCTGTCGAATCAAATATTCAACCATCGACGCACGAATGCCGCACAGTAAAACCATTCCCCAATTGGCTCACTTTTCGCAGCCTTATTCAAAATAGATATGAGATCGCTGTTGGCAGCTGTTCTCGTCGGAAGTCCCGCTAACTTCAGTCTGCCGGCGAGCTCTTCAGAAACAATAGAATGTCTGGGACGCAGCATTATTGTGGCCTCTTCTCTCGCTAGCCAGTTGGAGCGACAACGACACACGGGCGTGCAGTGCGTCGGCTCATTTTGTCGACCACTTGAGTCGCTGTTTGAGCGATATTTACTTGATCCGTCCCGACTGATTTGATATAATGACCGAGGCAGGTGTATGCATGAGTTCGTTTCTATGGCTGTGTATTTATATATGCCTGTGTGTATGTACGCGCGTGTGGGGTTTTTGTGCACAAGTGTGGAGATCGGAGTTGCCTCTCTCTGCCTCTCTCTGCTTTACCTAAAACTGTTTTCTCTCTTATTTCACATGAATACATTTAATCTCTATTGATAATATTGCTGTTAAAATGTGTCCGAATTCTTTATAATTTTTATGCTGTCCTTCTCTTCCTACATATTTGCTGTGATTTCAGGAGGATTTAGTGAAATGTATGCTTTGTGAGCCTCAAGTTTATTTCCTTTTATGTCTTTTATATTCAAACACAACTGCTTCTTGCATAGCTAGTATTCCTCTTCAGTATTTCTTCCTTACATATTTATATAAATGAGCTCATTATCTATCTATCTATCTATCTATCTATCTATCTATCTATCTATCTATCTATCTTTTTTTTGTTGCTATTTACCTTAAGCTCATTGAAAAGATCCTAAGAATAAACAGTAATATTATTGTGGCTGATATGGAGACTCAGATCCAGTCACTTCCCTACCATCATAAGGTTGCCTCACTATGTCTTTTCTATAAATACTTTCATGGTAATTGTTCAGATGAACTTTTCGCTATATTAACTAGTTTTTAAATGTATGTAATTACGATCCAATTCATCAGACATACAAATTGAAAAGTTTTTGTATTTGTAGGTCTGATGAATTGGATCGGAATTACGATTCCAGTGTAATAAATTATAACCTTGGAATATTAGTGAATAAAAACTTTTTTATTATTATTATTATTATTATATATAAAATGATGATAGTGAGCATATATATATATATATATATATATATATATATATATATATATATATATATATATATATAGAGAGAGAGAGGGAGATAGAGAGGGAGAGAGAGAAAGAGAGAGAGATTTAAGGTGTGCTATACTTATGGGATAAAGAGCTCAATAGATAGAGCGTATGTAAATATAAATATAAAAGGCGCGAATTTGTAAACAGTCACTATTACTGGTGATAATGCAAGACTCTCCTACCTAGATTGAATCCTCTAGCTGACTGCCGTGTTTATGAAAAAAATCTATCTTCATTTGCTATAGGGCCTTATATTTGACATTATTAAAAAATGAAAAAAAGAAAAGGAAAATGGGAGTTTTGATGGACTGGAACGGTAAAACAGCGAATCTTGTTAACAGGGGTAGAGGTTTATACCTTGTTTCCCGTTTAGAATTGTGTTTCCGGTTCCTTCAAAAGTCTGCTTCAGATTTGTACTCCTAATGTCTGCGCTTGAACTCTGAAATTTTATTTATTAACAATTTATTTAATTTTATCATTTTTTTCTCTCTTTCACCAACTGAGGTAGACAGGTTCGCCTATCGCCCGGTTCAAACTCCTCTCTGGTCTTTTGAACAGGTGTAGATGTTTATCACTTGTTTCCTGTTTAGGTTTAGGATTGGGTTTTCCTTACCTTCTTAATGTCTACTTCAGTTATATACGCATAACTCTTATCTTTTCTACGCTAATATAACTCCAGACAGTAAGTCTCTACTTTGAGTAGCTCTCGGACCTTGTATTGGGTGTAGATTAGTATAAACAAAACAAACAAAACAAATAGAGCCTTGATGGCATGGGATGCTCTCTTTTACCGAACGGTAAAACAGCGAATCAATTACCTAACGAGCTTGTGTTGGAAGAACAGTTATTGGGAGACATAGCAAAAAGACAAACCTTACTGAAAGCTACAATTGTCAGGAAGTTTAGGAGAGTTAGAGACACGGCATGTGGAAGAAGAAGAGCAGTAAATGACTATCACCAAACGAAAAAAAATGTAATTATTATATCCACATAATTTGCTGACATTTTTTTTATTTCATTCATAAATAATATCAATTGTTGGAATGATTAACTCCACGACAGGAGGTACCTATGCCAGATCGCCTGATGAGGATTAGCGACATGATGTTCGATATCGTTCTTATTTAGCGACTGTGGATTAGCAATGTCTTTGGCAGGACTTGTACCTGCAAACCAAATTCGTTTGGTTTATTAATCCTAATATTAGAATTCGGAAAGCGTTTTCAAATTTCGTGTTTCTTGTCAGCACCGAAATCACGCGAAGATATTTCAGAATTTCTTACTTTTCCCCGGTAAGCTCTTTGCCTCGTAAAAATATTTCCCAGAATCCCTGTAGGAATTAACCGGAAAGGAAGTGGCGTGGATAGCAGGCGAATGTCACGCGAAAGAAATCGGAATCTTTTAATACAACAGGACCGCCAGTGACGTAAAATATCTTTCCAATTTCGTTCTGGATCATTTTTCAGTACCACCTTTTATTTCTTTTCTTTCTTTTCTTCACTCTTCCTTCTTTCTTTTTGCATTCTTCTTTATGTTTTTCTTTTCCTTAGCTGCGGTATTTACTTTGTTCTTTTACTTATTCACTGTTTCTGTCTTTCGTCTATCTTTTTTTTCTATTAAGCTCCCACTTTATTATTATTATTATTATTATTATTATTATTATTATTATTATTATTATTATTGTTGTTGTTCAGTTTTGGAGTTGTCTTAAAATCTGTCACTCTCTTCTCGTTTTTCCTCTCTTCTTATCTCTTGTTACACTTCATTCTTTACCGATTCTTTCTTGTTTCAGTGTTATTCAAAATGTTTTCTTTACCTTCTACCTATCTTTATTTTCTGATATTTTTTTCCCTTTCTTTCCTTTATTCTTTCTTATTGAATTACTTCTAATCATTTACTTTGTTTCTGTCTTGTTTTCTTTCTTTCTTTTTTTCTTTTTTCCTTTCTATCTATCTATCTATCTATCTATCTATCTCCCCCCACCACCCTTTTTTTTGGCTCTTTTCATTTTTTCTCTTTGGTTTATCTTCCATGTTCCTTTCTGTTTTGACTGTTTTTCCTTTTTTTATTTTCCTACTTTTGTAGTTTCTCATATTTTTTTTACTTTCTTTTTTCTTTCACACATCACTTCTTAAAATTTCTTTCATTTTTTAATTATATTTTTCTCTTTTGCTTATCAGTACTAGTCTTTTTCTTTCTCATGTGTTTTTTCGTTTTTATTTTACTTTCTTTCTTTCAAAGTTTTATTTTTCCACTTTTTCTTTCTTGTTTTTTCTTTCTCTCATTCTTTCTTTCTTTCTTTCTTTCTTTTCTAGTTTTTTCTCTGTGATTTCATCATTCCTCCTTCTTACCTTTCCTCACTTAAACTTTCATCTACTAATTTTTCCGAATTTTATGTCATCTTTTTTTGTCATTTTCTCGGTTTAAGCTTCCCTCTTGCATTTCGGTTTTTATTCCTTGTTTATTTCTTTCACAATGTCGTTTCTTAAACGTCAGCCATCTTGCTTCTTCTTCTTACGACTCTTACTTTCATGTTAATATACAAAGCTGCTTCCCCAAATACGCACCACGTCAGAGGAGGCTCACTTTTTCACATTCTTGCTTCAGATTGCCGAGTAAATTTTTTTTTTGCTTCTTTTTAAGCATTTGTTCACTCTTGAAACTCTTCAGTTGTCACGAGATCCTATTTTCCAAATGTTGGATCCCATTCTACATTTTCGTCATCTGAGATTAATTTACAAACTTAAGAAGCCCAGATAATATTCTTTATATTTTATACGATGAGAAATATGACACGAATGGATGAATATGAAAAATAAGAAAAGCAGACAATCAAATAAAATATTTTCTAGATTTCCGAAACGAAGCCTTTGTCATCGCTCTTGACATTACTATAATTATTATCCCCATCCTCAAGGTTTTATTTGTTGATAGATTTCAGTCATTCCGCGGATGTCTGAGACCGCGTTCTGTCCGAAACACATGACCCCACTTTCTACCGACAAGATCCAAATGTATACATGGCATTACATTTAAGACCGGCATGATTGCAGCAGTGGCTGAAATTTTATCAGTGTAGACAGCCAACCATCTTCGTGATTCCACTCCCAATTTGCTGATGGTAATTACTTTCATAATATTTTCTGTGTTTGGATACGACCACAAAACATCGTAGGTTAAAATTCAAGGTTTTCCTTGCCCCTAGAGGAACTGCCGTCCAGGGCTGACGAATTTCATTTAAGCAAATTTATGACATTGTGAAATTATGACCATATTTTATGTATTTTATTAAGTTATATCATATTTATGATTTAATCAATATATTATTAGTAGGGCCTATTTGTTACATATTGTTATTATTCTATAAATTTGAGGTGAAAATGTATATTCTTCTTTTATATGTACATTCTTCTTTTATTTGGAAATCATGGCACCCTGCAACCTCATTTAGCTTTAATCTCTTAGCAAACGTTTTCATTTTACCCAGTCTTTGAAACGCTATTTTATACAAGCTTATCATTTAGGTTTATTCGCTGACTCCCCTTCTTCCTTTTACCTTCAATATATCCTGTGAGTGTCTAATTTTCTGCACCCCCTTTCTCATTATTTTTTGTGAGTATAAATATCCTTTTCGTTTCCACATTTGTTTAGACTTCTTTCTTGCTTACGCGCTCAGTGGAGAGATTGTCATACAAGAGGAGGTATACGACATAACAGTCCCGTGCTCTTTTCTTTGTTTCTCACGGAAATTTCAGTTCTTAGTAGATTGCTTTACTTTTGAAATACATGTTTCGCTAATTTTATGCGTGTTTGGTTTTCAGTGTCGCATTTTCCATCTACTTTCAAAACAGTTTCCAGATATTTAAACTTCAGTACTTGTTTGATTTTGACGTAGTTCAATTCTTTAACCTTTTAATATTTTTTTTGACCATTTCACCCACAAGCAAAGCCATAATTCAATTCAGGTTGTTATATGAAAAGAATTTATTTGGAAGGACTGGTGAAAGGACAATAAAAGAACAGCTTTCAAGTAGACAGACAATGATGTTGCATTAAAATTTTTGTCATTATCAGAGAAACTAAAAATTCAGGTGAAACATGCGAGCAAACACACACTTAGAGTGGAAGTGGTAATTGCATCTAGCTAGTTCAGGAGTAAAACTGTGAGATATACAGTTGTCAATCTAGTAACGCGCTGAAAGTCATGCAATGAGGCACTGGGGGGAAAAGCTCATCAGAAAATTTGCCATGAATATATTTGTAGAAAAGACAGAGACAAGCTACGTAACGTCGGTAAGAATCTTCACTCAGATACTTACAGGATCGATTACGTTACAGACATTTCTTTGAATGTTGTGAGTTTCGAGATATAGAGTAGGAGCACCAACCCAGATATGGCAACAGTATTCAGTACACGAACCAATGTGAAATTTATAAATATAAAAGATGGATTCTGAAGAGTATAATGTTTTGGCACGGCACAGTGAATCAAATTTCCTTGCAGTAGATGCAGAAACTGATTCGATATAGTCTCTCCACCTTATGTCAATGGATAACGTTAGCCCAAGAAGGCGTAGAGTGTTGCTCTCCTGGAGGTTAGCATCAGCCATGATTGTGGCAGTCAGAAAAGTTTCTTTGAGGTGATAAAATGAAAGCAGGTTTACTTTGGAAGCGTTAAAATATACAACACAATTATTGCTGACATTGATAAATTCTCTCTTCTTCCAGTTGAGGTTTAGTTCTTTCACCTCGTTTCTTTTACTACCTGATATAGGAAGCCCTTAATTTTATTGTATATCCTTCCGCCCTTGCAGTGCTCTACCCGAAAGAAAACCCAAGAAAATGCGTCTAAATAATCCGGGATTTTGAAAATGACTGATTTTGGAAGAACTCTATGAAAATTGGCAATGTATGTTTATACATTGAACACAATCATGTGCTTTCTTATATGGGAAGATGAAAAGTTATAGATATAATATAGGTTTCATGTTCCGAGGCAAATATTTTTTCAAGTTTACCGTTTAATTTTTGGTTTTAAGTGTTCTCTTGTTTCTTTTTGCAGATGGATGCAGTGAAAACTATGGATAGAAGCTCTGAGCAATGAGGACGTTTTTAAAGACTAAAAGAACATTTTTAATTAGAACCAGAAAAAGAACGTGTAAATATTCTGGAGTCGGTACTGAGGAAACTTTGCTTAGAGAATTTAATACTCACATGGTTTACAGAAGGTAATAGTGAGAGCGAATGACCTACTTAACATATTTGTATGTGTTGAAACTTGGATAAGCATGGAATAATAATAATAATACAACACAAAATGTACGTTAACAAAATGTATTGAAACAAGGAAAAGGTACACAATATTTACAGTTAGTTTTGGTATATTCTTGGAAAGACTGTTCCTGCATAATGGGTTGACTAAATCGCAGTCGGGCAGAGTCTCTCGATTCGATCTCTTAATCTTCCCCCGTCTTCCGGTACCAACCCATATTTATATGGTCGGTACTCCACTTATGTAAATTAGGTGTATCATACACAACAGTATGAATAGATGTGTGTGAAGTTACAAAGAGTAATGGCAAAATCCTAATGATTACGTTGGGGAGACACAGGATCACCCACGAACCGAAGTGACTGGATGCTAAGGAGTAGGACACTGCCGCACCCATCAATATGATTATTGTTGGATTAGCTTCTTTTGCTTGTAACTAGTAAAAATATATAAAATCCGCAATTTTCAAAGTTGATGCTTGCTAATATCATAAAGTGTTAATGAACCTTTTCTAGATACAAGTCAGAATATTTACTAATAGAAAAAATTAATTTTATTTATCTAATTAATATTCTATAGTAAAAAAGGGGGGGGGAATCTAGACCATTTCTGTTGTAGAACAAACACTAGATAAGAAGAATCGTTTTTAAGCCTAGAATGCTGCCTGTGCGTGCGCGTGCTAAACTGCACTTTTATCGGGCGCACTAAAAACAAATGAAATAATCAAGGAACACAGGTGCTGAATCATTGTCCTGAAAACCAGAATGACGTTAGTTCCTTGGAAAATTAATTTTGGAATAATCAAAGCGAAGACCAGGTAGATTTTGGGAGGTCACATCACAAATCTGAGTTCAACACATGTTAGCATATTTTATATTATATCCATAAGGATGCATTCCCACCATTGTAACATTATTAATTCTTTATTAGACTAACCGTGACATGATGGGTCATTGAGGGTACAGGTTATAAAACATTAAAGTTGATTTCAACATACCATTGAAATGAAATTTAATTGTATTATGGTTCCGTTAAATACAGGGTGACCCAAAAAAATGGGAATTATTTAACAATCCAATAAAACCAAGAGTGATGGAAGAAAAATATTTTATTCATAGTAATTGAAACCTTAAAATATGCCATTTAAGAAACAATGATGGAATTTTTATTTTTTTAAAAACACGTCCTGGAGATGGCGTCCTCCTTTACGAATGCATTCTTGAAATCTGCTGTTGAGATTCCTCATCTCCTGCTGCAACATCTCAGCTTGGATACTGTGAATTTCATCTTGAATTCTGAATGGCGGAATGTTTACTTGCTCAAGGTCATTGTCTTGCAGTGTTGCCACTTGCTCATGTCTGGCAATACGCACTTCAAAAATTCCCGTTGTTTTGGATCACCCTGTATTTCTATTCGTTCGTGTCATCATTGGTCTGGTTTACAAATTCATCTTTACGTTTTACTAATTTGTACAGTATTTAATATCAATAGAACTTCCGGGATAAACTTGAAATTTAAATCAGATTAACCTTAAAATAGTTTTTTAATATGCCAAAAATATTTTTAAATCATATTCACTTGAAAATATTTTTTAAATATGCCAAAAATATTTTAAAATCATATTCACTTGAAAATATTTTTTAAATATGACAAACATATTTTTAAATATTTAAAATATATTTTATTTAAAGAAAACTGAAATATAAATAAGTACTCTACAAGCAACTGGATGAACAGCAAAGCGGCATATCTTTGTGGCTGTTTTTAACTTAAGAAAGAAACTTAAAATAAAAGTACTTACTGTATAAACAACTCGTATTTTTAAATCTTATTCACTTAAAAATATTTTAAAATCAGAGTAACTTAAAAATAATTTTTTAATTTAAAATATTTAAAAAAATATATTTTTTTATTTAAAATATTGTTTGTCTAAATAAATCTGAAATATAAATAATTATTCTACGAACAACTGGAAGAAACAGCAAAGCGGGATTTCGTTGTGTCTGTCTTTGTCTTAAAATTATTTTAATTAAAGAAATTGTCTGTTTGAAGACAGT